GTCGCCTCGAGAGACGATGGCCGCCACCCTACGCGACTTCGGCGATCCGTCGGCGACCACACCCTCGTCGTCTCACGCCGCCCGAGGTCTCAGCGCCAAGTTCCGCCCCATGGTGACGAACATCAAGCTGCGCCCCACCGTTCCCGACCTTCGCGGAGGCACGCGCGCGCTTCGCTCCTTGAGGAGATTGATCTCAACGACGTCACCGCCGACACCGAACCAACCACCACCCCTCGCGTGCCGTCGGCCCTCGTCACCGACTCGTCCGGCCCCATCGCCGCGCCCCCCTCACCGTGGCAAGCGGCCTTCGGTGGTGGCTTGGCACCTCTAGCGGCGGCGTGGCAGCTCTGTGGTGGCTGAGGCAACCGCCGATAAGCGCCACATGGCCGTGGTAAGCAGCAAGAGAACCAAAAGGCGGGCGGTGCACCTGCGCGCGCAACTGCTCCGTCCGCCTCCCTCCTCTACAACACTTGGGGAGGTATGGTTCGATTTTAGCGCACCAAGTAGCCCTCCAAAGAAGGTGCTCCCGGTGGGCGCTTCGTCCACCACAGCAGCGGCGCTTCAGCTGTACCAGTAGTCCTAGCTGCAGCTAACTCGGGCGCCAGTGTGGCTCACGGCATCGGTCCACCGCCGGGTTCGCTCGCTCCGCCACCACCGCAGCAGCCGGCAAGCATGGACTCCCATGCAGGGAGGGTCTTTCGACATGTCCTCCCTCGCCAAAGAACTTCAAAGACCATGTCGCTAACTCCACCTGCATTCAAGCGAATGGTACGTCGACTCCGGCGCCGGTGCTCACATGGTCAACAACGCTGGTATAATTTCATCCTCTCACACTCCCTTGTCATCAAGTCCTTCATCTATCATTGTTGGTAATGGGGCTTCGCTTCCTGTTACTTCCGTCGGATCACACTCCTTTTTTACCACACGACGTCGCCTAGTTCTTTCTAATGTTTTAGTTTCGCCTAACATTATTAAGAATCTAATTTCCGTTCGTCGTTTTACCACTGATAACAACTGTTCCATCGAATTTGATCCATTCGGCCTTTCTGTCAAGGATTTACAGACACGGAGCGTGATCGCCAGGTGTAATAGCACGGGAGATCTTTACCCGTTCTTTTCGCTGGCACCACCCAGCACCACCGCCACCGCCCTCACTGCTGCTGCGCCTTCCACCACCCTTTGGCATCGCCGCCTTGGTCATGTCGGTCCTGAAGCTTTGTCCAAGCTCCTTAGTTCCAATGCTATCACATGTAATAAGCGCAATGACACTCATGTTTGCCATGTTTGTCAGCTTGGTCGCCATGTGCGCCTCCCTTTTAGCTTGTCAAACTCTCGTGCACTTCACCCATTTGATTTAATACATTGTGATCTTTGGACATCTCCTATTGTTAGTGTGTCTGGCTACAAATATTATCTTGTTATTCTTGATGATTGCACACACTATAGCTGGACATTCCCTTTACGCCTCAAGTCCGACACCTTTATCGTTCTCACTCATTTTTTCTCATATGCGCGCACACAATTTGACTCCACTATCAAGGCAGTTCAGTGCGATAACGGCCGTGAATTTGATCATTCCTCGGCCCGCACGTTCTTCCTCACTCACGGGGTTGCCTTTCGGATGTCGTGCCCATACACCTCTCGGCCAGAATCAGGCGGTCGAAAGCTCTTTCGCACCATCAATAATATCGTGTGCTCTCTTCTGTTCCAGGCCAGCCTTCCTCCGGTTTATTGGGTGGATTCCCTTCACACTGCTACCTATCTCCTCAACCGCCACCCTACAAAAACCTTAGACGGCCGAACACCATACTTCACACTATACGGCACGCAGCCCTCCTACACCCACCTTCGTGTTTTCGGTTGTGCCTGCTATCCCAACCTGTCATCTACAGCTCCACATAAATTATCACCACGTTCCTCCTTGTGCGTCTTCTTGGGGTATTCTTCTGATCACAAAGGCTATCGGTGTCTTGACCTTCATTCTAATCGGATCATCATCTCCCGACACGTTGTCTTTGATGAGACGGTGTTTCCTTTCGCCGATATGTCCACCTCGCCCCAGGATCCCACCGCACTTGATTTTTTGGATAACACTGATGATTTCTCTTTACCCAATGGGTCAAGAGTCTGTGCATGCAGGTACCAGTGCGTAGCAGCAACAAGCGATTGCACCCACCCCACCACCGGGCTGGTGCATCGGCGCCCATGCAGAGCACCACCCTCAGCTGCTCCCAAAGAAGCAGCGCCATGCTGCCCTCGACGCTCCAAGTAGCAGCCCGGTGTTGTCCCCGGCGCCCAAAGAGAGAAGCCCCATCGCTCCTAACTAGCAAGACACAAAGCCAGTCTTTGCTACCACCACCCGCCGCCCGGTCGGGCCTCTTCACAAACCGGTGCTGCTGCCCTGCGGATTCCACATCCCAGTTGTTGCCGGTGGCGCGGGGTTGCCTCACCGGTCGCTTTTCTACACCACGGCGCCCGGCGATCACTCCTCATCACTAATCGCGACAAAGATGCGCTTTTCGTGGCAAGGATGGTACTCGTCGTCCGTCGACCGCTGAACCTTCACACACGGCGACCCCTCTCTGGTGCCCACCTGCATTACGGCGGCTCTGGCGGACTCGAGTGGCGCCTTGCTATGCAAAGTGAGTTCGATGCCACAGTAAGCAAATGACACATGGTCACTGTGCCTCGACCACGCAAGCGTCAACCTTGTCATAGGCAAATGGGTATTTCACCACAAATTCAAGTCCGATGGCTCTCTCGACCGCTACAAGGCTCGGTGGGTCTTGCGCGCGGCTTCACAATGCGTCCGGGAATTGACTATGATGAAACTTTCACCCGGTGGTCAAGCCGGCAAACCATTCGCGCAGATCGATCGACTTTGGCGCTCTCTCGCTCATGGCCCATCCATCACCGATGTGAAGAATGCCTTTCTCCATGGCACTTTGTGCGAGATAGGTCTCGTGCTCAGCCAAATTAGTTTTGTCGACTCCTCCGCACTGCATTATGTGTGCCGCCTGAACAAGTCTCTGTATGGGTTGAAGCAAGCACCACGCGCCTGGCATCGTCGCTTTGCCTCTCATATCACCTCTCTTGGTTTCACTGAAGCAAAGTCCGACACTTCCTTGTTCATATATTGCCGAGGCTCAGAGATGGCTTTCTTGCTACTATATGTTGACGATATTGTTCTGACGGCTTCCTCCATGGTTTTTCTTCACGGATCATTGCAGCTCTCCGCCAAAATTCTCTATGATCGACATGGGGTCCTGCATCACTTCACAGGAGTCGGTGTTCGCGCCACCAGAGACGATCTGTTTCTCTCTCACAGCGTCGATATGTTGGATACTCTGGAGCGTGCCGGTATGACTAACTGCAAGCCTTGCAGTACTCCTGTTGATACTCATGCCAAGCTTTCTGCTGATGGTGTCACCGTCGCCAACCCCACTCACTATCGCAGTATTGCTGGAGCACTTCAGTATCTCACCTTCACCCGTCTGGACATTGCTTATGCTGTTCAGCAGGTCTGCCTCTATATGCATGACCCTCGGGAGCCGCATCTTGGCGCTATGAAGCGCATTCTCCGCTACCTTCAGGGCACTTTGGATCTTGGTCTTCATCTTCACCGGACCTCACCAGCTGATCTCACAGTCTACACGGATGCTGATTGGGCGGGATGTCCTGACACGCGCAAATCCACATCTGGGTATGCGGTGTTTCTCGGGGACAATCTCATCTCCTGGTCGTCCAAATGTCAGCCAACGGTGTCCAGGTCCAGTGCTGAGGCGGAGTATCGGGCTGTGGCCAACGGTGTTGCTGAAGCCTGCTGGTTGCGACAACTTCTGCAAGAGCTTCACTACCCTCTTCGCCGCGCCACTGTGGTATATTGTGACAATGTCAGTGCCGTCTACCTCTCCACCAACCCGGTCCAGCATCAGCGAACCAAGCATGTTGAGATTGATCTGCACTTCGTCAGAGAACGAGTCGCCCTCGGTGAAGTTCGTGTCCTGCACGTTCCCACTACGTCCGAGTACGCCGATGTCTTCACCAAAGGATTGCCGACGTCCGTCTTCTCCGAGTTTAGGTCCAGTCTTAATGTTTGCGGTGCTCCCAGTTCAGACTGTGGGGGAGTGTTGGAATGTAATTGGGCTCGTGGGCCTGTCTACCGTGACTCCCCACCTGACCTATATATGTACACTGACTATGCCTGAGTAATACATCGAGTATTCCACTCTTTCAGTCTTCAATTCAAGCAACTTGCTCCTGTAGTCAGAGTGTTACCCGAAATATTACTTGCACTTTTGGAACATATCTTGACAGACATATTCAGTTCATGATCCCTTCTCTGTATTTTCAGTGGCCAGTATCTGGTTTAAGTTCTCAAACCCCTGAGTAGACCCAGCCGGGACTCTGCGTTAAGCAGCATAACACTGGAATCCAGACCAGCATGTACCTTGATGTATCAACTATGGATGCTCAAGGTGAGGCCATCTAGGAAAAGGTATCAGAGACATGCTACTCCAGTTGTTTGCAGTATCAGCCAGTAGTGATGCATTACAAGATAGCTAAACCACTCAATATCTGATTGCGCTGATTGCACGACAGCTAGCCAAACTAGTCTGTCCCTCTCACTTCACCTTGATTCCAATTAACATGGGGTCCTCGAGTTACTTCCACGCTAAACCACTCAGCATGGATGCCTAGACGGTGCCCAATCCAAGCAATGAAAGTGCACCACGACTGCCTCCGGCACATGCCAAACACTTGGTACCATACTCCCATCAAAATCTGATCTAAAGCATACACACATGGCATGTTCGTAGTCTTGTCCCTTGCCAGTCATCCCAGCTGACTGGACCCCCTGCTCTTTTCTTCATCTATATATTCATGGTCTAGTGTGTCCTCCAAACACCATCTCTTGCAGCTTCACAAAAAAGCATTGTAAACTCAATCCAAGAGCTCACCAATTTCCAGACCAAGAGAGACGAAAGGAAGAAGTAACCATGGTCAGTGCCAAGATGATGGCTCAACTGGCAAAGAACTGGCAGAGGATGACATCGCTTGGAAGGAAGCACCTGACTAGGGGGACGGCAAAGGAATCCGACGAGTGCTGCACCTCTGTGGCGGGCAAGGGCCACTGTGTGGTGTACACAGCCGACGAGAGGCGGTTCGAGGTGCCACTGGCATTCCTTGGAAACAGGGTCTTCGAGGAGCTCCTACGGATGTCCCAGGAGGAGTTTGGCTTCATGAGTGATGGGCGGATCACGCTCCCTTGTGATGCTTCAACCATGGAGTACGCCATGTGCTTGCTCAGAAGAAGTGTCTCTTCAGAGGTAGAGAAGGCATTCCTAAGCACCATGGAGTTGTCATGCGTCTATGCAACTTGTGTGGCACCATCTGTAGGAGTTAGTCAGAAGGTTGCTGTTTGCAGCTTCTAAAATGTATGTAAAGTAATACTGGATCATATAGGTTGTAGGACAAATGCAGAGCCTTTTGATCCTGCAAACACTCAAGGAAGATGGCAACACAGCAAGTCAGAGCCATTGTTCTTGCTATTTGTAAATATGCTTCATTGTGTCAATGACTAATCACATTTTAGGAACTTTATATGAGGCAACATGTTTCTTCAGAAAATTCTTCTCACCTGAGAACCAAATCTTTACTGCATGTGGCGCGGTGCAAATATTGCCATTTCTCATAGTGTCTGGATTAACATTCCACTGTTCCTCCAGGCCTTGACAATGAATCCATGGTGAACAGGGAAGGATACATCATGGAGTTCAACCAAATATGAAACTAAAACAATATAATTCAACCCTGCACAATTGTAAAATTTCAGTAAATAATCATGTCCATTGTATCCTAAGCCCACAGCTTACGACTGTGGAAATAGTCATGTCTGTTCAAAAAAAAAAGTATTGCATGGATTGCATGGAGATTTACATTACTGCAGCGAGAACAGGGATACCAGCCTTGATGGATTTACAACGGAGGTCCGAACTCTCCAGCAAAAACTAGACAATGTAAGCAGAAATTGACTATAGGCCCACTAGACAATGCATGCAGATACCACGAAATGGCCGTCACATGCCATGCTAGAAATATGCAGACCATCAATGGAAACGGAATTATTGAACTGTTGATCAAGTTGCATGATTTGCAGCAATCAAAGCACTGCTCACCAACATCTAAAATCAGTGAACTAATTAAGTTCCCTAACTCTTGAACGGTTGAACCATCCTGCTGTGTCCCCAACTCCCAATTGAGGCATTGATGCTAGGTCTTTAGCTAATCTCAATCACATCAGAGTTTGAGAGGAAGAATTAGTATCACTGATAATTCAGAGATATGGTTGCTTTTGAGCAAGCCCCACCAGCTTATATCCGAACCACGTGACACAGGACTGAGACAGATATAAGATGTCCATAAAAGCTAGACCCGGTATGCTTGCACTATGTCTCTGACCAATTTGGCATCTGTTACTGTAGTTCATATCCGATTGTCCAACCACTATTCCACTGTCTTTGTCGTCACCGTGCAACAACTGATGGCCCAGCAAAGTCCAATCTGAATCTCGATGTCTACCTTTGGAGCCACCAAAGCACGTAGGAAGCTCATGGCCTTGTCCCGAGACCACCACCGCACCAAAGCCCAGGAAGGGCCATTTCTTCACCTATATATCAAAGAACTAGCAAGTAAGACACCATCACAAGTTCACACAACCGAATAGTCAGAGCATCTCTAAACACCATACCTCCGAACCAAGAAGAACCAACCATGATCCATTCCAGGAGGATTGTTGAATTAGCAAGGAAGTGGCAAAGGGTCAAGACAGCTATTTACATTATAATTCAATGTCTATTTGAACCATGTCATTATTATACGTCTCTAGCGACATTGGGCCCACATTAGGTGTATGTATCTCACAAACTTTGATATGGTCCAAAATACCTCTGTACTCCCCCGTCTATGTCACTTACAAGTGGGCCCATGTGTCATCTCCTTGTTTGACTCTTTGAAAAGCGAGACTTCCATTTTTTTTTTGGGAGGCAGGGAGTATATATGAGCCGGAAGGTCAGAATTCAAGCGTCAAGAAGAGCCAGAATTCCTGGCTATAAAAGGCATCTCCAAGAGTCTTTCTTAAAGTCACTCTCTAAATCGTCAATTAGAGAGCCATTTGAACAAAAAATCTCTCTATATACCCTTTCACCCTCCATTATATTTCGTGAGCACTCTAGAGAGCTAGCCTTGCTCTCTATCTTTGTCTATCTAGAATTCTGGAATACATGATGACTATATTTGGAGATCTAATTAAAAAATTGTTGAAGGGTATTTTTTCACCAAAATCTCTATTTCTATCAATTAGAATGATATAAATAGGCTCTTGAGAACTGTGAAACAACCTCGGTTAATTTCTTAGTACGTCAGAGAACCAGAAGTTGCAGCTCTGTTCTTTTTTCTGAATATAATCATCTCCACTCCATTTCCATGCCTCACTGCCTCTCTCATACTCCTATATAATATAATCATCTTCAGTTCTACACTATGCAAGCCAAAACAAAAGTACCAAAGCTAGCTGACATGCACTAATCTAAATGCTAATCTTCAGATCTTTAGTAACAGCAGTTTGTTTGGCCAGATCCCATGAATTGCGCCAAGCCATTTCCATAGCGGCAAGGCCTCGCCATGGAGCTCAGGAACGCCCTCTCGACCTCCTCCGAGGCCCCTCTCCTGAGCAAACACACCACATACTCCATCACCGCCACGTCGCAGGGCAGGGTGATCCTCCTGCTGTCTCCGCCGGTGAACCCAAACTGCTCCTGGGACATCTGAAGGAGTTCTTTGAAGATGGTTGTGGCAAGGTACGCCAGCGGGACCTCAAACCAACTGCTGTCAGTCGGTGTAGTTTGTCCTCGTCGGCATGGGCCACCCAGCGTTGCCGACCTCCTTGACCTTTCGGTGAAATACCAACCCACGGTCGTTCCCGCCGCTGCCTCCTGCACGGCCGCCGGATGGAGACCAAGACCGCTGACGCCGCGGCGATCTCGTGTTGTTGCATGAATACCACATCCGCGTCGATTGGGCCTCACTCGAGGGCTGATAAGAGCATATCTATCCGATAGACTGACAGGGGGTTGGGCCTCACTCGAGGGCTGATAAGAGCATATCTATCCGATAGACATTCTCTATGCCCGGCCCTTTCTCATGTTAAGACCTAGAAACAAGGGTCGCGGAAACAAATGCTGAGTAAAATTGGTTGGACTACAAGAAACCTACGCCCCAGCGGCTACAGTGTTCTTGTTCACCAACGTGATCAGAGTTTGTTGTCCGTACCCCGAGCTTTTTAGCCTTAACAACGAAAAGAGTCGGAACACATTAAAGAGTATATCTATTCGGTGGACATTCTCTGTGCTCGACCCTTTCTCACGTTAAGATCTAGAAGCAAGGGTTGCGGAAACTAACATTGAGTAAAACTGGTCGGACCGTAAGAAACCTACGCCCTAGCGGCTACGGCGTTCTTGTTCACCAGTGTGATCAGAGTTTGTTGCCCGCACCCCGAGCTTTTTAGCCTTAACTACGAAAAGAGTCATAGCGCATTAAAGAGTATATCTATTTGGTAGACATTCTCTGTGCTCGACCCTTTCTCACGTTAAAAACGTAAAGGCAAGGTTTATAGAGACAAACGCTGAGTAAAACTGGTCGGACCGTAAGAAACCTACGCCCTAGCGGCGATGACATTTTTGCTCACCAGCAAGATTAGAGTTTTTTTGCTCGCACCCCGAGCTTTAGCCTCTGCCTTCCTAGGAAGGGTTTGGAGGGGCCCACCGACGGAATCTCCATCGAGGAGAGGCCAGTGGGTCACCCAAGTCGATCGGACGGCTCGGGCCATTGCCGAGAGACAGGTAAGGAGCAGTAGGATGCCCCATGCGGGTTATGCCGACTCCATCATGAACGACGGACCTGGATTCCACTCGGACATATCCGATAAGAGCCCCCTGAACCCATCACTTGAGCCATCGAGGTAACTTTACCAACCCCCACTTTACTTTTCCAGTGCATGAGCATTCATTCATTCATTCTCATACATCTAAGCATCGCATTTGCAATTATTGCATCACAACGCTTCGCGTCGTGTCACAAAGCGGTAGTCGTCTCATTCAACATGAGCGGCGATCGAACGGGGTTCGAAGGTCGGCCCGCGAAGGGCTCAAGGCTGCCTCGCGTCGAATAGAGCCAGGGGAGAAAACATAGATGAGCCCTAGCGGTCTTTGCCCAACCCGCTCAGAAGCGAATAGGGTCATCTCGACCTTCTCGTTCGATCCTAACCTTGAGCCATGCCCACAGAATCTCCATCGAGGGGAGGCCAGTGGGTCACCTGAGTCGGTCTCCGAAACAACTCAGGCATCTACCGGAAGGCGGGTTAAGGAGCAGTGGAATGCCACATGAGGGCTATGCCGACCTCATTATGAATGATGGATTCGGATTCCACTCAGACATGCCCGTTAGTGAGATCACCGAGTGTGACACTCGAACCATCGAGGCAAGTGATGTTAGCTCAACCTCTCCGGTTGCGGAAACCGCGGACGGGGTGACGATCACAAAGACGAGCTGACCCCTTGACCGGACCCCTACAACGCGTGGGGGCTTGAGGGAAGTTGGACTCGCAAGGAGACCAAATGCGTGGTCATAGAACAATGTCTTGGATCCTAGGGAGGGGGTACGTACGAAAACTAAGAATAACATTTCTAAAAAATGCTTTCTCCCACCAGTTTCGCTATTGTCTCCTCGATCTTTAGTGAAACCCGACCCCAGCAACGGCAAGGGGTTGGGTCTCACTCGAGGGCTGATAAGGGTATATATATACCCTTTCTGAAATAGTCGCCATGCCCGACCCTTTCTCACTATAAAAACCTAGAGGGAAGGTTTGCATAAACGAACGCAGAGTAAAACTAATCGGACTGCAAGAAACCTACGCCCCAGCAGCTACGGCACTCTTGCTTACCAGCGTGATCAGAGTTTCTCGCCCACACCTCGAGCTCTACAGTCTTAACAACAGGAAGGGTCGGAGCGCTTTAACCCCTTTTTACACATAAAAAGGGAGAAAGAACAAATTTGTTTAACCAAAATGAAAAAACAAGCTTGTTTAGATGAACCAGAAGGGTTGGAACTTGTCCGCTTATTACAAGTGCACCGCCTAACCTATCTGACTAAACTAACCCCTCGGGGGGATGATCTCATCCTCTATCTTGGCAGAAAGGTCATGCACCAGGGGGTCCATCTCCTTCTTGATGTCGTCCAGCTCGGCGTCGGTATAGATGGGCGCGAAGCCTTGGCTCATCGTCGCTAGATCGATGTTCTCGTAATGAGAATGGCGATCACGAACAGTCAGTGAACGCCAAAGCGAAGCGCGCTCCTTGCCATATCATGTGCCCAGTCC